CTGATTTGGTAGCCTGAGCCTCACTGCCCTGCATCATGAGCATGACGGAGATGGGTGAACAGAGAAGCCCAGGAGAAATGCACAGACTGAATGAACAGCTGCAGTTCACCAGCTTCTGTTCTACAAGTTTCTATTGAGAGACGTCATTGAATCTCCCGTGCCCAGCTGAGGAATCCTGAGCATAATGTGTGAAATAATTTAAATAGAGAATTTAATAATAGAAGCTGCACTTCCAAATAAAAATTATTGGCCTCCTGAAGATCAATGATTGTAAATGGATACCTAATTCCACCATCTACTTAGACAAAATAAACTTTTGCTGTCAGCACTGACGGTTTGGGACACCACTGACACCTGGGTGCTGGCTCAGGAGAGGAGCCAGTCACCACAGAGAACAAGGGTCCTTCACACAAACCTTCCCAGGGGAGCAGGAGGACCCTGATGATTATTTGGCAACAAAAACACAAGCCCCTCCACCTGGGGAGAATTCTAAGGACCCCAGGATGGGGTGAGCCTGCACTCTTGTGGGGATTCCCGGAGAGGCTGGATTGAGGACACTGTCATTCCAGAGGCAAAGGGTGACTAGAGCTGATATCAGCCTCGTGAATGGGGTGGTGCTGGGAACATATCATTATCTTGTTATGAGAATCTCCTACAGCCCCCAGCAAAGAACCTGGATTCCTGCCGGGTGTATTGGCACAGCCTGAGAAGCACTAACAACCAGTTACAAATGCCGGAAAGAAATGGCAATGTCTAGAGTCCTGACCTAGTGGCCCCCGTGAAGCATAACCACAGGGCCCTGCAGGAATGGGATCTAGAAGAGAAACATCCCCGAAACACAGTCACTAATAACCTCAGCCTCTGCAGTGAACACAACAGTAAATTACACTCAGTCCTTGGTTCTAAAGAGCTTATTTACCACCTGAGTCTGGTAAGTACCTGACAAATTACACAAGCCCACAGGGATGAGGGAGCCTGGCTCCCTGTGCGAAGTAAGCAGGGCACAAGGTTGCCCAGAGTCACGGCGCAATTCTGTTTCTAAAGCAGAGAAGAGCAATATTTATGCAATAAACACATATGTATGTGCATGTGTGTAAGTATTTACACACCTACCTAAACTCTGACTTTAGGACAAAGACCTTTTCATTTGACTAAGTATCCTCATGGACTGAAACATCTAAAGTTTATTGGGAATTTAAAATAGAAAATTAATATTACAGATTGATGACATCTCCTTAGACCACCTAAAAGAAAACAATAAAAGGAAGGGAAAGTGGAAAGAAATGTTTAGAAAATGAAAACCGTTGTGTTCCCTATTTAAGGGCCATGCTTAGAAAGAAGGTCATTGCACAACTTTTGGCCCAAGGTTGTTCTCCAGACGCCCAGCTCAGCCAGGCCAGCAGCACCTCGTTCGCCCATGGCCCTCCTGCTCTCTCTACTCACCGCCTTGGTGGTGTTCAGCACTGGCCCCGGCGGAGCTCTGGGCTGTGACCTGCCTCAGGACCACATCCTGCTCAGCAGGGAGAACTTAGAGCTTCTGAACCAAATGAGCACAATCTCCCCTGTCTTCTGTGTGAAGGACAGAAAGGACTTCAGATTCCCCCGGGCAACGGTGGATGGCAGCCAGGTCCAGAAGGCCCAGGCCATCGCTGTCCTCCACCAGATGCTCCAGCAGGTCTTCAACCTCTTGCCCACAGAGAACTCCTCTGTCACCTGGAACACGACCCTCGTGGACCAACTGCGTTCAGGACTCCATCTGCAGCTGGAAGCCCTGGAGGCGTGTTTGGTGGAGGAGATGGGAGAGGAAGGATCTGCCCTGGCCATGCAGGGCCCTCCCCCGGCCTTGAAGAGGTACTTCCAGGGCATCCATCTCTACCTGAAGGAGAAGAAATACAGTGACTGCGCCTGGGAGGTTGTCAGAGGGGAAATCATGAGATCCTTCTCCTCAATAACAGCCTTGCAAGAAAGACTAAGAAATAAGGATGGAGACGTGGGATCCCCCTGAAAGGACTCTCAGGGATGAATGTGCCACATCACGGTTGCACATCTGTCCTGGGTCATGTCCAAAGGCTCTCACATCTGCTCTAGTCACAGAATCTGTTGAATTTTACTCAGGAAATCTGTTGTCAGAGTATTAAGTGAGAAAATGTTAGAAAATTCAGTTCCTGGGTCAACGGTCCCTGATAGGTTACTGCCTGAATGGTGATTTATTGTTATTTGTTTATTTATTTATTTATTTATTTATTCTTTCATCTTATATTTCTGTATTTATATAACCAATATTTGCTCTTCTCTTGTATTAAAATTTACAAAACTTGTAACTTTTGTTATGAAATTTGCATTTTGTTTTATTCAATTCTTATCAAAGAAAACTTCTTGAATTTTTTAAATCAGAAAACCTAAATCCTTATTTTTTTGATCTATCTCAAAATAGTACCCTTTTATTAAGTCCTTTAGAACAGTTCCTCCACTTCTCAGAAAGTGCCTGTCCAAAGCTGGCAACCCATGGGATTGAGAAGAGTCCTGGCAAACTTGGAAGATGTTCAGGGATAATGTCAGAATTGTAACCGATTTCTATTCTGTCAGCAAGGAGAGGGTGGAACTATCTGGGAGGAGTCCTGTAGAGTGAAGAAGAAAAGATATACGGTATTGGTTGGCTGATACTGGCATCTGGTCCTCTTCCTACCAGTCTCCCCAGTCCTGCTGTACTGGATGTATTCATTCCCTTCCCTCCTCGCCCTCACTGCCTCTAGTTCTGTTGTGGTTTCCGCTTCAAGGTTTCTAAACAGAAGAAAAGCCAAAGGGAGGGAGCAAACATTGAGTGGCTGCTCTACGCTCTTCAAAACTGTTGTAAACACTTCTGTCTCTAGGAGGGCGCTGATGTGTGCTTCTGGGCCCTGAGCAAAAGCCAATGTTACAGTGATGACATCGATGCTGAAGTGAAAGGAATCAGCCAAAATCACATAACTGCGTGTGCGTGTTGTGTGACTGTCTCAGAGAGCAGGCAGGGAGATCATTGTGGGAGGATTTCTTGAATCTGTGCCTCAGATGATCTAGCCAATGCTTCAGTTTGCTTTTCAATAAATTGTGGGTACTATTTTAACATATCTTTATCCTTTATCTTTCTCTCCGATATTACTCTACTTCATGGACCAGTTTAGCAGAAGGAGAAAAACCTGGCAATTCTCGACTTTTTCCTTTGATTGCTGATCACCTTTCCAATGGTAGGATCCCTGCTACTTGTTTGCAGATTTAATGGAAGTCAACTATGTTACCTTTAAGTTACAAAGAGGTTTTTCCGCCACTTTGGAGTTCTGCTGGTTAAACTGGGACCATCTGGGCTGCTGCATTTATGCTTCTCTACCTCCAGGTACATTTTAAGGTGAAATTCAGGGTGGCCGGTGGTTGACCGAGCCAAGTTGACACATAAAATTAACCATCACACAGACTGTCCTGGAGAAAGGATGCTCTGATGCTCAGCAGCCTCTTTGTTCCTGGGAAGAGGGAAACTCCTAGAATGTTAAGAGCTTAGACTATGGAGTCAGAACTCCTAGATCAGGGATGGCGAACCTTTTGAGCTCGGCGTGTCAGCATTTTGAAAAACCCTAACTTACCTCTGGTGCCGTGTCACATAGAGAAATTTTTTGATATTTGCAACCATAGTAAAACAAAGATTTATATTTTTGATATTTATTTTATATATTTAAATGCCATTTAACAAAGAAAAATCAATAAAAAAAAATGAGTTCGAGTGTCACCTCTGACACACGTGTCATAGGTTCGCCATCACTGGCCTAGACCATAGGAGGTGCTCAATAATGTCATTCCTATATTTATTATTTAAATTGATTTTCAGAGACAAAGGAGGGAGACAGAGAACAACCTCAATGTGAGAGAGACATATATCGGTTGGGTTCTGCTTGCAAGCTTACTAGGTCTGGGACTGAACTTGCAACCTAGGTCCATGCCCTTGAGCTGGAAGAAACCCTTGACCTTTCCACGGGTGGGTCAACACTGACCACTGAGAGACATCGCCCACTTCTATGTCATCTTGAGTAGTAATGGTATTTCCTAGTAGATGACACAAGGTGCTGAATGGATTCACTAATCATATGAAATGCACATTGAAAATGAGTAACATCCATTATTTCTCTAGAGAGTATTAGTTATTGGGTGTTCTTAGTTAAATTGAGTCTTTTGTGAGTTGATTGATATGATTGCCATTCCTTGTTCCCAACTGATTACATCTGGGAAATAATGAAACCATAATCATGTGGCTGGTTTTGCAAAGCTGAAGGTTGGCCGTGGGACAGAAGTTACTCTCCTTCATCCCCCAGCCAGGGAAACAGCTTTGCTCTCTCCCTACCCCTACTGTACGCTTCATCCTCCCTGTTGCTATAAGTTTTGTTACACTGAATTTAGCTAAATTGTCATTTTTTTACTCCCAGGTCAGCCCCCATATTCTATTCAAGGCCTTCAACTGGTTAGATGAGGTGGACTCATATTAGGGGGAACGATAGCTTTTCTCAGTCCATCTACTTAATTGTCTATCTCAGACCAAAACACCCTCACAGACACATTCAGAAAGTTCGACCAAGTAGCTGGGCACCTCATGGGCCAATCAATTGAAACACAAAAGTAATCATCACAAGGATCTAAGATAAAATACTGTAGCGGCTAGTGGAGTTCTAAACCTGTATCTCTATAACCCCAGATACTCTGTATGAATTGGGTTATGTCATTTCTACCTGGCATAAAGCCACCTGGGAACATTCTCTGCAACACCCCGTGAGTGATTTAAGGGTTTATTTTTTTTCCCTTTCTTTTGTTTAAAAAATGTCCTGGGGTGACACTGGTTCATAGGGTCATATAGGTTTCAGGGGTGGATTTGTTACAAGATCTGTATATTGTACTGTATGCCCACCACCCAAAGTCACATCCTCTTCTGTCACTACAAGTCCCCCTTCACTCCCAACCCTCCCACACCATCCCTCTGGCAACCACCACACTACTGTTTGTGTCCATGAGTTTAGTTTGACATCCTACATATGACAGCACCTAGTGCTCAGCTTTTTCTGCTTCACTTATTTCACGTAGCATAATATTCTCAGGAACCATCCACGTTGTCCCAAATTTCAGTATTTCATCTTTTCTTATTAGTATTCCATGGCATCTATGTTCCACGTCTTCTTTCACCAATTCTCTATTGAAGGACACGTTGGTGGTCTCCATGTGTCGGCCACAGTGAATAATGCTGCAATGAACAGAGGGGTGCGTATATCTTTGTGAAACATGTTTTCGAGTATATACACAAGAGAGGGATTGCTGGCTCATATGGCAGCATTTTGTGGGGAAATCGCCAGACTGTTTTCCATAGTGGCTGCACCAATATTCCCAAATGAATGAGGGTTCCCCTTACACACTACTTCTCCAACACTTGTTATTACTTGTCTTACTGATAATAGCCATTCTAACTGATGTGATGCGGTGCCTTGCTGTAGTTTTCATTTGCATTTCCCAAAGTGCTAGTGACATTGAACATCTTTTCATATATCTGCTGGATGTTTGTATGTCTTCTTGGGAGAGACTTCTATTCTGGTTCACTGCCCATGTTCTAGTTGGGTAGTTTGTTTAGTGTTGAGTTTTATGAGTTCTTTATATAGTTTGCATATTAAAGCTTTGTTGGAGCTATTGTTTGCAAATATTATCTCCAGTTCCTATGTTGCCTCTTTGTTTGGTTGTCAGATTCTTTTGTTTTTCAGAAGCTTGTTAGTTTGATATAGTCCCATTCCTTTACTTTTTTCTTCACTTCACTTGCCTTTGGAGTCAAGTTCATAAAATGTTCTCGACAGCCAAGGCCTATACATTTAGTACCTACGCTTTCTTCTATTGATTTTATTTTTTCAGATCTTCTATTTATGTATTTAATCCCTTTTCAGTTAAGTTTTATTCATGGGGACAAACTGAAACCCAGTCCCATTCTTTTGCATGTGGCTTTCCAATCATCCCAGACCATTTATTGAACAAGTTTTCTTTGCTCTATGGCGTTATATACCAATAATCAATTCTCAGAAAGAAGAACGAAACAAACAATCCAATTTACCATAGTGTCCAAAAAACTTAAGAAACCTAGGAATAAACTTAACCAGGGAGATAAAAGTCTTACACTTAGAAAACTATTGAACAAAAGAAACAGAGGAAGGTATAACAAAGTGGAAGAACATACAGTGTTTATGGATTCGTAGAATTAACATCATTAAAATGTCCATACTACCCAAAGAAATCTATAGATTCAATGCAATCCCTACTAAAATACCAACAGCATATTTCACAGATCTAGAAGAAATACTCCAAAAATGGATAATTAACAAAATAAAACCTCAAATAGCCGCAGCAATAGTGAGGAAGAAGAACAAACTTGGAGGAATAACAATACCAGATATCAAGTGATACGGCGACAGCCACTGGTAATCTTAACAGCCTGGTACTGGC